TTTTTTTTTTTTTTAGTATAATTTGGGTGTTTAGTAGTGAATCATTTATTGCGTGCAAACTAATGACAGGAAGATGATGTCATGGGGTAGGACTAGACAAGTCTGACTTCTTCCTACTCCATTCAAGCATGTACTAGGTATAAGCAAATTGATATTGGATTAGCATTTGTTGGATATGTGTGAAATTATGTGTTGACATATCGACTGTCTTTACATGCTTGAAAGAATAAATCAATCAATCTTCTGTCAACTAATCAATTAATGGACTAATTGTTTCATTTGTCAGATTAGGAAAAACTAACTGTGACTGTGTTTTATAGATACCCCCTTCAGTTGTGTTTCCAGCTGGTTAGAGATCATTCTTAAATCTGGCATCACTGATAAAACCACCCTCTGTCCATACCTGGCCTCCGTCGAGGCTCGTCAGGCTTTGGTCTGAGTGTGACGGAGGCATTCCTGATAAAGAGGTGGGAGACAAAGGAAGCACAGAGATCAGAGGAACGTTCAAAGGTGGCAGTTACATAAAGGAAAAGTGTGATGATATTTTGTTTTTTTTCTTCTTGTCAACAATTCCCATGAAAGGATCAAATGATGACGACTGCATCCTCCTCTGTCTGTGTACATCCTCCTTCCATCATTAGTTCTCCACTGACGTGATTGGCTGAGAGCAGATATATTAATCACCACCCTTTGATCGACAGTCACCTTCATCCAGCCCTTTTGCACTTTGTGCTGCGGCACAAACATGAACCAGAATAGAAGGTGGAGATGGCCACGCCGTCTGTGACCCACCGCTTTGTACTCGCCGTCACACTTGCATGACTAAACCGAGGCTCCTGCAGCCAGCAACATTATGATTCATATCCCCAAAGATCATTCATTCATTCACTTACAGGAGTGTGTGTGTATTTAATGACCTCCCAGGGGTGAACTATACTCAAACAACACAGATGAGCACAAGACAATGTTCACATCACACACACATTTTCACAGCATTTTGTTGCAACCAGGTAACAATTCACTGTTCAATGACAAACCTGTTTGCGCATGTCTTCACAGGCCACAAACTGTTTCCTGACTGATGCACAGGGGAGGTTTTTAAATGCAGTCTGAGGAGCTACAGGAAGGATATCCTCCCAGCGGAGTCTCAGCAAGTAGAAACATGGATACACACAGTAACAAACAGTCAAACTGTTTATTCCAGCTTTCTTGTAACAGTGTATCTGAAAATGTATTCCGACTTTTGCATTTGCAGTCACCTTCACCAGTCTGTGACAATCTTGTTCTGATCAAACACACTTCAGACTCGCCATTTAAATCTACAGCTATTCCGGTGCAAATACATGCATTACTTTATCATACTGGCCAAGGCCTTTGGTTTGTTCCTCCAGGTGAAACTCATCTCTCTAGAGTAAATAAGTCATGAGCTACTTGAGACACTGCAGCAGCTCATTACAGTCAGGCAGTTATTTCACAGCCAAAGATGAGCTGTTATTATTTCATGTTATGGCATTTAAGTGTGGACAGTCATCTGAAGAGCACTGCTACACCCACCACACATATAAATGCAGGTATGGACAAGTGTAATCTCCTAAACCTGAACTCTCCACCCTCTTTCCTTTGGCTGCTGTAAAGTGTTCACAGCCCAGAGAGTTTGTCTGTCTCCCAGACTCACACACAGAAGCTCCACAGCAGAATGTGGACAGACCAGAGAGGAGCAATGCACAGTTAAGCCTCACGTAACCTCACCGGTGTAAACAGAAAACGGCAGAAACACTTGTGAGCCTACAGTATAGATGCCGAGTGCTACTCAAAAGACAAGGCTTTTGCTGGAGTCTCCCTTTAAGACTGTTAAGAAGTAAGAGCAGCTCAGCTTCCACACATGGATTATCACCTGACAACGTGTGTGTGTGTGTGTGTGTGTGTGTGTGTGTGTAATGCTCACCTGTGTGCAGGATAACCTGTGGGCGAGATGAAGACACAGGATGCTTCAAGTTACAAGAGGGAAGAAATAAAAAACACACAAGCTTCACTGTCTTCTTTTACAAGGAACAATGTACACTCACCGGCCACTTTATTAGGTACAACTGTATGCACTTCAATGTAACACGTCCACCTTAACATAGTTTATTATTGAGGTCGTAGTTAAAGGTCATGTTGTACTGGTCTACATTATATTCAGAGGTCATCCTGACTACAGACGCTGTCGTCACACCGCCATTGGATGCTCTGTTATGTGTCATCAGTTGTTTAGCGATGAAAATGGATTGTTTGCAGTGTTATGGCATTACACAACAGCTTCATAGCTTCGGGTACTGACACACTTGCCTATAAAAAAAACACAACTGTACCTTCTGAGGTGTGTGTTACTGATGGACAGTAGCTGGATCTGTGAGAGGATGCAGCTGGAAGAGGAAGTCCCTCCTCCTTGTCTCTACTAAACCAATCATGTCCCTTCCCAGAAGGCTTCTCGGGGACATAGGTGATTCGTATGTGCTGGCAATGCTCCCTGTCCTTCCCACTGAGGAAATCTGGGAGGTCGTTGACCTGAAGAGATGAACAGAGGAAAAGAGGTGGAGGAGGAAGATGTGGTGGGGTGGGGGGCAAAGAGACTGTGTGAGGTGAAGTAGAGTCAAAAATCGTCCTTCTTTGAGCCAGTCACATCTGAACACAGACATGAAACATGCTGATATCATTCAGTGTGACTGTGCAAGAATAAAATTCTATAGATGAATTTACAGGTTATTAAACATCTTGTGAGAATCATCACATTTCTGAGATCTCTTCAGTCTTACAGTAACACAATGACAGCTGTCTGCACAAACAGGAGCTGGTCACAGCTAAGTGAGGAGGAGAGAACAGTGGCGGTAATCATTACTGGGCTGGTGGTGAAAACTGATACACAGCTGCTCCAGAAAAGTCTAAAACCACAGAGCAGAGCAGGTAACATTAAAATCATCCCACGTCCACTGGAGAGATAACTCCAGTCTCAGTGGAGCCTCATATACACTTTGTAGTATTTGTAGTGTATTCTTATCGGGTTTGTTAACCATCCTCTCACTATTCCACAGACTAAACATTAATGGTAGATATATTTACAATAGTCATTAGCCGCAGCTCTAAATCAAAAATCATTTCAGGCAAGAGTCTGGAGAATCTAGTGAAGGTAGTCACGCCCAGGAAATCCCTGGAGACACCTTGAATCCTTCCTTCTCTATAAAAACTATAAAGTACCTGCTGAAGCCACAGTGAGAGCAGTAAAGTGACAACAGACAGGGTTAACACCATGAGGGACAAGTTCAACCTTTGACTTCTGACATACTGAGATCAATCAGAGGCTCACACCTGACTGAGGTTAAACCGATCCCTAATTATTTTAATACCTCTAGTAGTCTGGAAAGGCTCTTAATGTGTGCTGCAGGTGTTTGTGCTGCTAAGATCATTTCTGTTCTAACATTGACACCAGGAATATATTCACTTCTGAAATGAGAGCAAAGCACCAACAACTCTCTAAAGTCATATACGTATGTGACCACCAGCAACTTCAGGCGATGAATGGATTTATAGACGTTTAATCCCAACTCAGTTATGAGACCACTGTATATCCAATTACAGTATCTACAGCATTTTCTTTTTCATGTTCATGTTTTAGCACAGTGCCTTGTAGGATGGTGGCTGAAATAAAGGAGAGTTAACTCAGGCAGTAGAGAAGGTGTGAAGTGACACCTGTGAGTCAAAGTAACTGTATTCTGAAGAGTTTAACTGGGATCAAACAGCAGGAGCCTGTTAATTAATGAGCACACAGGGACACAGGTCAGTTAAGTAGCTTCAGTCATGATTAGATTAGATTCAATTTTATTGTCATTACACATACTGTATACAGCACAAGGTAAGAAAATACAGGTTAGCATTGAACCAGGAGTGCTGCAAAGAAAGATTATTTTACTTAATCTACTGATCAATTTTGGGATTAAGATATAAATGTTCACAGTGATGTCACCAAACAATTTGCTATCAAAGAAGACAAAACAAACTGTACATGTGATAAACTGGAACAAGAAAATGAAAGTAAAAAATTCTTAAAACACTGATTATTTTAAAAAGTTGCTACAACATACTAACAATTAACAGTTTGTCAATTAACTGATGGACAGACTGTTAATTGTTAACTACTCTGATAATTACTCATTTCCATGGGCTCTGAGAAATTAGGATGGATGTTTTTCATGGTTTTATAACATTTTGTTGGTCAAATGACTAATGGAGAAAATCAACAGATTGATCGCCAGTAAAAATACTCGTTAGCTGAGTTTAGTTTGTTAGATGTCAGAAAATAGTGAAAAAGCGCTTCATTATTCCATGAAGCCCAACTGCACAAACTCAAATGGCTTCCTTTATCTGACTGCTGTCACAAAATAAGGACATTGTGCTCGCCATCATAGAAAACAGAGAAACTAGTAAATAACTGAGAAGCTGCTACCAGGGAATTTTTGCAATTCTTGCTGAAAAAATGATTAGTTACTGAATTATCGATATATTTAACAATTCATTTTCACTTTCTCTGTTAAGTTGGTTTCTGGGTGCATGTGGGACCAGTCAATGGGGGCCCAACAAACCTCTGCCGCTGGGCCCCCTAGGAGGTTAATCCAGCCATGTAGACCCACACAATACAGCCCTAACAATCAGCTGATTAATCAACTGAGAAAAAAATAAACTACTACTTTGATAGTCATTTAATTGTTTGTCATTCTTTGAGCAACACACAAAACATCTGATGAATTTTAGGTTCTTTACTTTGAGAAGTTACCATTTCCTCTTCATACATTATACTAAGATCTTTGGGTTTTGAACAAATAAGTTTACAGTGAATTAAAACAGAAAATGCAACAAATCCTCTCATAAAGAAAGCTAGAAGAAATTGTTTGCATATTTTCCTGAAATATTATTCCTTGTTTTCACTGAATAATTAATTAAAACACATTTTTAAAAGTAATCAGATAACTGTTCACTCAGAAAATCATGAAACATCTTTAAATATCCTGTTTGTGTTGACAAAAAGTCTAAAACGAAAAGAAACTCGGTTCACAACCTGAGAACCGGTCAATCGTCACACCGGACAAGGTGCAACAAGCACATTTCCGCAGTTTTTCTAGAAAATCTACTCAAACTATGGATCAATTAACTGCCTCAGTTTGTAAAAGTGACCCGTTACTCACCAGCTCGATGTCACGCACGCGCCTGAAGCTGACAGCCGCGGTGAGTGTGCGCGGTGCGTGCTCGGTCAGGTACACCTGCTCGTCGGTCAGCACCACGTGCATGTACACCTTGTTGAGGGGCTCCGCTATCACGACGCACGGTTCGTAGGTTCGGATCCGCTCAAACACATCCCGCTCCGTGTTCCGCTTTAGGAAGGATTCCAGCTTAATGTTTCGCCGGGAAGGAGGAGCACCGGAGTCTCTCTGAGCCATGACGGGACCGGCGGAGCGGTTAACACCGGGTTAGTGACGTTAACTTCTACGTCAGCGTGAGGCAGGTGGCGCATGGTCACTTTCCATCCGTTAAGTTCGTATTGTACCAAAATAATAAACAGAGAAAGCTTGGACAGGTCTCAGCTGTTCCTCCCGCTCCGATCCCAGAAACCAAGCAGGTGAACTGTCGTTGGCTGGCTTCAACAATCAGCGCACACTGCGCTCTGATTGGTTAGCAGCGCAGAGGGACGCTGCTGATTGGCTACAGAATACAGCTATTTTACAGCGTAATTTAGTAGCAGCGCTGAGCCGCTTTACGCCAGTTTATTAGGTACACCTAGCTAAATGAATGAATGAATGGATAAATAAATATTCAGTCCGCAGTAAATCCTCTTACGTGAAGATGATGGTGTTCAGTTTGTGTTCGAACTGTTTCAGGGACGTGTTGATTCATCATGCTGGAGGCTGGAGTTTGTGCTGCTGTGGAACTGAGAGCTGTTTAACCTACAGTATAAGGACAGAAACACAACACAAGCAAATCCATAGCAGCTCAGACATCGTCCAAAACGATAAAACGGTTGCGTCAACACCTCTCTGAAAAAGTTGTAATAACATTTTTAATTTGAACATTATCGCCTTTCTAAAGGGAGGGTTGCATCTGTTTCAGCTAGATGTTCCTAATAAACTGACAACTGAGTGTACAAGGGTGCAAATGGTCCCCATTTTACTGTAGTAAAACACCAGTTTTATTTCTTCTGGCACTAATAACTCAACCAATATTCTAATCTAGAGAAATGATCAGAATGATTGAAATTACATTTATTGGAAACGGGTCTGATCATCTTTTAGGCCAAGAGTACATCATCATCATCATCATCCTTTATTAGCAGACTCAAGGTCCATACAAAAAAGAAATAAAAGAAAAAGAAAGGATATAAAAGAAGAAAAATAAATAAAGTACACTTCAATCTTCTCACATGTAGTGATTGAAGAAAAATACTCAGCAAGATGCGTTCTAATTTCTACATAGCTACAAAATATATTCAAAATAATTAAAGTTCCAAAAGTAAAAGTGTAAAAAAATTTTATTTCAGAATCAAATCTGTAATTAGACTATTCATTATTGATGCATTAATGGGTAAGTGTCACTAATGTTTCAGATGGTTAAGGCAGGGATAATCATATAAAATAGTACTTTAATTCACTTTGAATTTTACGGCTGAGCCTTAACACACACACTCAACTCCACACATATTTTGTACAATTTAAATTACATGCACTTGCTTTAATATAATAAAACATATTAGATAAACATTATTTAAGTGTTGTTGCACTTTCCAACTCCTGCCACTAGAGGGGGGTACACTGCTGATTACCCCAGTACCCTCTTATAAATATGGGTCTAGGCAGGCTCTTAACAGTCTCTTATACATTGAATAAATAAATCATTGTGTTACTCTGAGACATTTTGAGTTGATGTAAACCTGAAAAAATGTGGCAAATGTGATGGTGAGTTCTTCATCCTCCTCCTCCTCCTCCTCTGTCTCATCTTCCTCCTGTCACACATGCCCAGGGAGGCGGTGGCTGGATCTTTGAAGGGCAGCTTTGTGAACGCTGTTTCACACACAAACGCACCATGAAGGAGATGAAGGCAGCGTTGTTTCAGAGAGCAACACACACAGTCTTTTATGCTGCCAAATAAGAAAAGCGACACAATGTATACAGACACAAACTATGTTGTCTATATTTGTATTATCATTTTATCTCAAGTTTCCCAAATTTTGTGGTTTCAACTTTTCCCTGCTCAAAATGGAAATGTCATTGAAACAGCGCTGATGCCACTGAGACTGAACTGGTGTGTCTATGTAGCCGTTTTGCATGTGTTTGTGCTTGTTTTGTGTCCCTTAGTGGCCATTTTGTCTTTTTTTGTGGTCAGTACGTGTCTTTGCATTTCTTTGTGGTCATTATACATCTGTGTGTGGTGGTTCGTGTCTCTTTGTAGCTGTTTTGTGTCTGTTTGTGCTTGTTTTGTGTCCATTAGTGGCCATTTTCTAGTTGTGGTTGTGTGTCTCTTTGCAGTTGTGCCTTTTTGTATGTGTCTTGTATCTCCTTGTGGTCATTTTTTTCTTTTTTTGGTCATGGTTTGAGATGAGATAATTTGTGGTGTTCACTGTTCTACCCACAGTATTACATTTGTGTTTTAATTCAAACCAGTAACTTTTAGTGTTTACAGGTAAGAGAAATGTATTTACCAGATGAAAGAAAAGGCAATATTACAGCTGGGTCCTACAGTACTCCTTCATCATCATCAGCACCATCATTGTGTGTGTCTGTATGCAGCTGCAAACCACAGTGGTGGGCTGACCGCTCACAGTGTCGTCTTTGTTCTGCAGCAGAAGAAGAAACCAGTCACATTTCCCTCAGAGAGAAAAAGAGATTATATCCTCTGGTTCCAGTTGATGATGACTCTTTTGGCGTTTTGAAGAATGATAATGAGGTTTAAAGTCCAAAATCTAGAAACGTGATCATACTCCTGGCAAATTTGTGAATTTGCCAGTGGCTGGAAAAGCCACTGAGTCTAAAACTCATCAA